CGCGGCGGGGCGGGGCGGGGCGGGGCGTCCGGCCTGCAGACCCATCCTCGGGGTCCGCCCCGGCTCTCCGGGCCCTCTGAGGAGCGGGGTCACTCCTAGCCTCAGAGTCCCAGCCACGCAGGTGCCTGCGGCTGTCTCAGACCAAGCAGCCAGCATGACCCTGCAGGTCTTGCCCCAGGGTGGGCACCACCGTGAAGACCAGGCCCTCCTGCGCCCATCCTGCAGGCCCCCGCGCTGTGGCATGGGGCCGCAGGTGGGGGGAGTCCTCTCCTGGGCCTCTATTTGCACAGACCTTTTCTCCCCCCCACCCCTTTCTTAAACAGCTGCTTTTCCAACACCTTCAGGGTTTTCTGGGGGTAGGCTGATGGCCCCTGCTCCGTGCTATTCCTGGACAGGTCCAGACCCCTCTCATCTGGATCCCCACCCCCGGCATTCACGAGGGTGGGAGGGGTCGTGACACTGCAGGGGCATCATGGTTGTTTATCCCCTGCCCACTCACAGCCCTTGGGCCGCTAGGCTGGACCAAGCTCAGCCTGTGGGCAGGGTAAGGAGGGCAGGGGGCGCCAGTCCCTCTGTGACCTGGCCCACGCTTCAGGCTTGGGATCACGTGTCAGTGGGAGACCCACGGGTGCCGGGGGAGGCCCTCATTCTCCGTGAAGAGGGATGCCCCTTGGGAAGAACCAGCACCCTGCCCCTACCCAGGATAGGCCAGGCGTGCAGGCCTATCTCCTGCAGGAAATCCCACCCGCCAGTGCCCTAATACTGCTGCTGCTTAAGGTGGATCAGCCGCTGAGGACCGCCCTAGATGTGGGCGTTGCTGGGCAGGCAGCTATGCTGGTCTGGCAGGGCAGGCAGGGACCTGGATTAAGCTCCACAGCCTCCCCAGCGAGAGTCTCTGTTCCTGGCCACTTCAATACGCCCCCAGCACACTCTTCTCTGAAACCCAGACCCATTACAACCCTCCCTAGGTGGGGATCTGTAGAGTGGCCCTCACCCTCCCTGGTAGGGATTTGGGGGGGCCTCACCCTCGCCAGGTAGGGACCTTTGGAAGTCTCATCCTCCCCAGGTGGGGATCTGTAGGGGGTCCATGCCCTCCCCAGGGGGGATCTGTAGGGAGGTCCTCACCCTCCCTGGCCCTAGGAATCTGCTCTACAGCCAGAATTTGGTGCGGCTGAGCACACCTCCTCCCTGCCGCCCTGCCATAGGCCTGAGGTTCCTTGGCCTGGAGGCCTCTCCTTGCTTTGTGAAGCACCCAGCCCCAGCTCCTCAGGGAAGGCTGGCCAGGGCTGTGGGTTGTTAGAGAAAGGAGCCTGGAATGGGGGCAGGGACCGGTCCCTTAATGCTGCTAGCTACCTAACAGCAGAAATGGTGATGGGCTTTCTCCCAAACAACCCTACTTGTAACCTCTGCTCTGTGGGATGCCCCACTGCAGGAAGCCCAGTGTGAGGGTTCCCGATCAGTTGGTGGGGTCTCAGACAGTGAAGGTGTCTCAGGACACAATGGTGAGCAAACAGTGGACTGCAGTTGGGGCAGACACCTCCTCACCTCAGCTCCCTGGTGGCCTTGAGTGGCCCCCAGGCTGGGAACACTGCACTCCGGCCCAGTGGTGCCTCATCCACAGCCTGGCCCTTGCTCCTGCCATTCTGCAGCCCAGCACATGGAAGCCCCAGACCCCCCATCAGGAGCAGCTCTCCCAGCAAGAGGAGGAGCTCCATTGCATGGAACCCCTCAGGGTCCAGGTCTGATTCCATGCCTGTGCTCAGTGAAGGGTGCCAGGATGGAGTCATCTTTCTCTGCTGGGCTGAGAGCCATGGAGAAAAATGCCAAATGCTGGTCATGGGAAGAAACAGCACTCATGTATACTTGGTGGGATCCCTTCTCTTTAATGCAGATGCCTGGGCAGAGGGGTCCCACGTAGCACAGACCTAGCTACAGAAGACTACCAGCGAGGTCATGGCACTCACCTCCCCAAACAGGGCCATACAAGGCAACAGTGGCCTAGCAGCTGGTGGGAGCAGCACCAGGAGGCTGAGGCAGGCCCCACTCACCAACGTCGCTGCTGAGTCCTGGAGTCCTCCCCACAAGGAGAGCTAAGGCCTCAGGGAAAAGGAAACCTCAGCAGAAAGCAGGAGCCTCCCCAATCTGCAGCCCAGCAAACAGGCCTGGGATGTAAGGCTGCACATCGTGCATTTCCCACATGGCCAGTGCCCACTGGGACCCCATTCTGGCTTACCATGACCTCTCTGCCAAAAGGAGCCCACCTGAGAACACACCAGTCTGGGCGGCTCACACAAGTACCTCCGCTGATATCCTTGCTCAGCCAACCCTGCGGTCCAGTGGGGCCAAAACTTGGACACACTCTGTCCCCTGCACGGCTCCCTTTCTGCAGCACATTCTGCCTTGAACGTGCTCTGCAACACAATCTGAGTCAGGAGGGCACTGTCCTCCAACCACGCCCAGGGGCCTTCCCACTGTCAGGGAATCCCCCTTGGAGACACTTCTCCTGTGCCAAGATGAAGGAAGTGTGCTTGGAGTTTTGTTGGAACTCAAAGACATAATGTTATACACGCATTCTCTGCTGAAAAGAGGTGTGTGACTGCCAAGGGTTTCCCTTGAAGGTCAAGCCTGCGGTGGACCCTGCCTTTCATATGCATCAGCCCATCCAACTTGACACCCATGCCCACTGGCCTGGAGAGTGGGGCTTACAGGGAGTGCAGCACAGTGAGGTGCCCCCTGTGGTTTGCAAGGTCACAATTCCTATGCAACAGGACCTCACCCCATGCACAAGCTTCATCTCTTCCTTGGGTGGAAAGAGCACCAGTGCACTACCAACAAATCCTGCAGCAGCGACCATGCCTCAGGCTGACAGGACACAAGAAAGATGGCCAGCAGTCTTCAGCTGGGCTTTTAAAACAAGAGCAGCTGCCAGGCTGGCCCGTGGCTCACTCGGAGAGTGTGGTGTTGATAACACCAAGGCCACGGGTTCAGATCCCATATAGGGATGGCCAGTTAGCTCATCGTGTGAGCGTGGTGCTGACAACACCAAGTCAAGGCTTAAGATCCCCCTACCTGTCATCTTTTTGAGAGAAAAAAAAAAAAAAAACAAGAACAGCTGCCTTTGGAAATGAATCCCATGGTGGGACCAACTAGTGTTTAAACCAGACATACGGTAATCAGACAGGAGGAACATGTGGGGTAAGTCAGAACAGGGCCTGAGCCTGGCTGGTAGGTAGGAGACACAGGCTGATGGTCAGAGAGCAAGTAGTGACCATGGCAGGCAGGTGCCACACTGTAAAGCACCTCTGATAGGTGTTAATGGCAAACAGCCACAGTGACCAAGTCCCTCATTGCCACTCCAGGGTCATACTTGCTGCTTGTCCACTGGAGGGATGGGCCAGCAAAGCTCCTCAGAGCCCTCCTGGTCTCTCCCAGTGTCCCCAAGACACACATTACGAGAGCCAGGACCACATACTCTTAAACCTCTCCCGTACACTGAAAACTCCCCACTTTACAAGGCAACCCCCCAAATAACATCTTTGAAAACATCTATTTAAAACTACTGCGGATGTCCACAATTCCAACATAGCTGAGTTTAGACTTCTAGTTCAGGAGATCAAGAGCCCAAGTGGAGTTTTCTCTGAGGATGGTGGAGGGGGGCATCTGGCAGGGTTCCCAACTGAAGGGCTACGGGGCTCAGCCCCGTACTACACCAGCCTTTCCCTCCACCAGGGCTGAGGGCCATCCTGGCTGCTCTGCTAACAAGGGCCCACCAAAGATGGCTTAGGCCAAAGCCTGGAGACCCGCACAGCTCACTACTGCCTCCCAGTACCAAAGCCAAGGTACTCTGGTGGGCTTCCTTCCTCTCCCCCAAACACACATGCACAAAGCCTACCTACTCTCACCATAGGGCAAAGTGACAGCTGTTTAGGCCTCAAAAGGAAGAGCACACCTCAGCCCCAAGGACCAGCCCCACCCAGACCCTCGGCAGAGCCTACACTGCTGCCCGCACCAAGCACCCCTGACCAGCTGCCCCACAAGCACCAGCTCAGACACACCACAACTGCAACGGTCAGCAGTAGCACAACTTCCCCAAAGCCCAGAGCAAGACATGTGCACAACCCTGGCAATGCCAGCATGAGTCTCCTCAGGAGCCAGGCTGTGGTAAGGCGAACGCCTGCCATCACCACAGAGATCTGGATAGGCACTGGAGGCAAGCAGCCCAGCAGCCAGCAGGAAGCCAGCACCACTCAGCACGGGGCCCGCACACACGCAGTCCTGCCGTCTGATCCAGGTTCCAAATGTGGTTTTTTATTCACTTTTTGATGACTATAAATAAGTGTTTCCACTATGGAAAAGAAAGTTAGCACAGTACATTTTCATGACTGGGGAATGGATTTTCTGGAGCTGTCTTCAACAGGGCAAAAACTTAGAAGAAAAAAAAAAACAACCTGAATGTTGGAATTCAGTTCTTTATATAAAGTCCCTTGTAAAAACAAAACAGAATAAAAACAAACCGAACAGGAAGGGCTAGACAAAATTAAAAAAAGAAAAAGAAAGAAAAAGGAAATAAAATAAGACAATTTATTGCTTCTCCTCCGCTTCCTCCTTGGTCTCCTCCTTCACTGAAAGAGCTTCTAGCTTTTCAGCCACTTTTTCAGCATTATCATTTTTGCCCAATCCTGCTAAAACACAAGGGAACACAGTAAGAAGAGAGGCCAGCACAGCTCAATGGACCACACTGCCCTCGCCAGGCCCAGAGCTGCCTCATCCCAAGCACCGCCCACTGCTCTCCCCAGCCTGGGTTCTAGAGGCTCCAGTGCACAGCAGCCAGCTGGGCCAGCCTCAACCCACCCTGGGGACAAACTCCCAACAGGCCAAGACCACCTCTGGGTGAGCTTGTCTTCTCATAACCCAGTGACCAAAGGAGGCCAAATAAACACGCATTTACACTGTCTAGACCTCAGTGGGGCTGCTCAGTGACGTCTGGTCACTTGCTACCGCAGCCATCATCCAGCCCTGGAGTAGCAGTGACCGAGTCCTCTGACAGAGAAAACGAAGACCATCTTGAAGCACCGTTAGCCTCTGGTGGGTTCCTGTCAGAGTGTCACGACTCGGCCACCTGCACGGACCGGATGTGAGACCAGCACCTGTGAGCATGTGCTCAGGGCTCCCCAGGAAGCACCCTGTGTCCCCGGGCAGCTGCATCGTCCTTGACAGGTCAAGGCAGCCACAGCATCCCGAAATGTTTCTCTGGCAGACGAAAAAAGCACCCGCCTGGGGATACAGTCGGGTGCAGAGTGAGTCTGCAAGGGAGCCCCCCACCCATGGGCACCATGTCACCTTTCTTTTCTCTCTCTTCAACCTCTTTCCTGCATTCTTCAAACTTTGTTTTGAATTTCTGTGCATCTGCAGGAAAAAAGAGATGACAACCTCAGAGCCGGAAGCAGGGAAGGAGACACATCCCGGCAGGTCTAAAGAGCTGGGAGTTACAGAAGGCCCGTGCCCCGGCAATTTCTGACCTAAGGACAGGCTGGGCCATCTGACATGGGCCTAGGGCTTTCGCCAGGATTGTGTGATAACCTTTAACTCAGTCCCTCCCGAGGCTGGTGACTGTGCTGAGCTGTTTCCCTTTATCTGATTTTATAACATCTTGGGCAGAGCAGTAGAGATTGCAGGCCCTTGAGCAACCAAGGGGCAGGGGCCTCCTGGTCAGGGGCTCCACTCTCCACTCATGTGGGAAGGTCTGCTGGGATGGTCCCACTCCCAGAGCAAGGGAGATGTTCACTTAGCACCAGTCAACTAGCTATTGGGGCACTGGGCCACAGCACCCACCAACTCCTCCAGGAGCCACTGGGTACAGCTTCTGACAATCCAGAGTGGAAAGACAGCCAAACAGGGGAGGGGTCAGCCTGGGCCTGTGGATCTCTGCAAGGCCCCTGCTGGTGACAGGCAACCATGAGGGCATGTCACTGCTCCTGACCTCAGTGAGCCAGAAGCCTGGCAGAAGGAACAGCACTGGGAGGAACCCCTGGGGTTAGTCTCAGGCTCCTCAACACCGATGGACACCAGAACTTGACAGGAAACTAAAGTGCCAGGCATGAAACTGCTCCATGGACATCTTGTTCAGCAGCTACTCGGCACAGACACATCCATGTTTGAGAGGAAGGGCACTATTCATGGCTTTAGTCTGGATACGGCCCCCAGACAGCAGGGCAGAAACAGTTCCCACCGCACACCTCCCAGTTACTGTCAATTCTCCCCCAGAAGCACCAGCATTTGGTTGCAACTAAACCGCTGTGCTCTCAAACAGGCAAGTCAAAGTCAGCGAGGGCCGGCCGCCCGCCCGCCTTCTGCTTACTCTCAGCATTTAGGAAGCGGATGGCGAGCAGCTCCGGCTTGGGGCACTCGTCGGCAAAGTCGGCATGGGTATTCCAGACCCAGGCGCGGTCACTGCCCGCATTCGGCTTCAGCTCCATCATCGGTGTGACTGCAGGAGAGAAAGCTGTGAGGATGGACTGTGGGGCCTGGGCTCACCCACCCCTCAGCCACACAGCGTCCCACTCACTGACCCGAGGTACCCACTTCAAGCAACACATGGAATGTTTGGGCTGAGAACCGGGCCTAGACATAGTCTCACAGGGTCTGGATTTTATCCAAACCTCTTCAGAAATGCCCCATATTCACTTAAAACCAAGACTGTCCTAAATCTGGGAACAGGGTGGCCTGCTCCCTGACCATGAGGACATCGCAGCGTGGGTTTCCTGAGCCTCCTACTCAGGACCACTCAACACGGACTCCCACCTCCAGAAAAGCAGACGAGAGCAAAGCAGGCCCCAGCCCTGATCTAAGTGCAGCTGCTCACACCTAGCCCTTTGGTCCTGACCCTGGCCGTGTAGTCCTGAGGCCTCAGGTCAGATGTTAAGGCATAAGGCCAAGTGAGCTCAGCCTTCCTAAGGGCACCAACACACAACTGTGTCCACACTCGTCCACGCCACTGGGGGGGCCTGGCTGATGGGAAGGTGCGGTCAGTAGAGGGGAATAAGCCAAGAAGTGAGGTGGTCACCAGGAGGGTACACGGTCAGGCCTGCAACCACTCTCCACTTTCTCCTATCCAGGTAGACCACCAGGGCACAAAGCCACCAGTGGCAGACACCTGGAGCTCTATGACAGATACTTATATGTCATGGAAGACAGAACCATAGCCTGGAACAAACATGCTTATCCCAAACTCCTAAGGCTCCATGTAGACCCTGTGCCAATCAGGGAACTGCCTCAAAGGACAGCTTGCTCGTTTGGAGATGACCTTACAGATGATAACTCACCAGGATGACTCCCCGAAGAACAGGAGCATCCCTGCTGTCCATGCCCAGCCAGGAACTCCCTGTGCCCCTGGCGGAGATCTCTGGGGACGCAGGACAGGCCCATTGCCCAGCCCTAGCCACACCACTCCCAGGCCACTACCATGTCACCATCAGAACTGTGGGCTTGGGAATCTCTTCCACTGCAACTCCACAGTGGTCAACATGCCTCCTGCATGCCGCCCACATCCACACCCCACATGGTCAGCCTACTCTCAGCTGGGATGCCCGGCCTCCAGCTGCCGCCACCCTCTGCATCCACCAAGGGCCCATGCAGACAGCTCTGCCCAGATGCCCAGAGACCCTGGGCCGACTGTCACAGAAACAACCTAGCTACCTGATGAGACTGGGAGAAGCACAGGTGTCACAGAAGAAAGTCAAGGAAATGATTCAAACTGGGCTTGGGGACAAGGATGAGGACCAGGCCAGAACACAAGCTTTACCCAGGAGCAGACAGGGGGTCAGGGAAGGCAGGGACACTGTGAAGCCAGCTCGTGGAACACGGCCAGAGGTGACTGGTACAAGGAAGGGTCCCTTCTAGATCCTCTGCACAATTACCCACCTCTGCATCACCCTCAAGGGCTGCTCCACTCCGCTTCCCACCAACAGGTACCCCTTGTGCCCCAGATGAGGGGCCCTGCCCCACCAGACACACATTACTCCAAGCAAATGCAGACATGGCACTAGGAGGTTCACCGAAGGATGCCCAGAATGCCTGTGCTTCTAAACACACCACCCAAAAGGAGCGACACAAGATGGACGGCACAACTGCAGGCAGCCAGCAGTGTTGGGGACAACCTACTGCCACTTCTATCCAGGCCAGGCCTCGAGGGCCTTTCCTAAGCCCATCGCAGGGTGGCCAAGGCCTCCACCTGTTCCCCGTGCAGCTTCACAGGTGCCTGAAGACATGGTGGCCACCTTCTTCCCAGCCCATTCCCCTTCCACGTATTCCTCAGGGGACAACCTCGGGTAAAACACAACAAAGGGTGGGACGGCTGCTGCCCAGGTGCCTCGTGCACACATGCCCTACACTGCCCAGACACCACACACACTCTGCCCAGATACCACCCACACACTCTGCCCACACACTCCACACACCCACTCTCTGCCCACACACCACACACATCCACACACTCGCCCTCACACTGCCCAGACCCTCTCTCTCTCTCACCTGTCCTCAAGCACTCACTCCATCCACGTCCCGAGCCCAGCCTGGGGCTCTTCGTTCACCCTGTCGGGGCCTGTCTGGCTGGACTCCACACTCCCGTGTTCTACAAGCTTCGCTGCAGGCCTGCTCTGAGTTCAGAGACACATTTGAAATATGCATTTCTCATTTTAAATTCAACAAACACACCACAAACGTGCACTCCATATGCCAACCTGAAGCAGAGTTTTAGGGTTCAGAGTGAAAACACACCCAAGAGACCACCTACTGTAGTGGTTGGCGCATATTTTCAGGGTCTTGTCCCTCCTCATGAGGAGGCGGATGGTCCCTTTCTCCTTATGCTTCAGGAGCTTGACATCGCCGGTGCCTCGTTCCTTCCATTCTGGGAGATCGTTCTCTGACGCAAATCGGAATAGCTTCGCCCGCCTGCAAGAAAATCCGTCAAGTAAAAACAGAGATGTGCAGAGAGGGGAACATACACACCAAACGTTTGCTTGGAAAGAACATTTGTTTTCTGTGCACTAAACAATGGCACAATTCTGCACTGCTGGACCTGACATCTCAGCAAACGCCTTTTCTCTTCGTCTACTTCAAGAACTAGTAGTCTAAACACCACCCAAAGGACACACAGCCCAGCAAATTCCAGATTGCTTTTATTTCACAACCAAAAAAAAAAAAAAAAAAATTATGTCTATGGTCATAACATTCCCCCCAACATTTCTTGAATCAAAAGACAAAAGGCCCAAAGTAGGTAAAGAAGTCCCGAGTGCACTGAGTATCCCACAGTCCCCATACAGAAACACTCCTTAGCCCTGAATGGTCACAGAGACAGGTAGGAGCAGGTGGAGGCGGAGGACCCCCACCCTACACAGGCCGAATCCTTCCCTGAACTGCAAGATGCCCCATGTGCTTCCCCCAGCCCCCAACCCAGAGAGGAGGCCACAGGCCTCTACTCAGGCAACCAGGCCCTGGGCCAACACCCCACCTGGCTGCCCAGCAGCACCTGGGACCCAGCAGTGAGCACAGCAGTCCTGCCCTTAGGACTCAGATTGGAACCTCCCCCTGCACCGAACTCTGCCTGCCCCTCTCTCACAGAAGACTCTGCTCTCTCCCCCAAATTCCATTTTGTCAAAAGGGACCGCATCCTCACTAGGTTTCCTAACAGGATGGTGCCTAGAGCTTTACCATGGAGCCCAAGGGCCCAGATGCAAAGGTCCAACCTGCTGGCCTCACTTGCCTCAGGGTAGGCCCATACCCAGGAAGGACACCAGGAGCAATTCCCATCCCATGTGGGCAGGAAGGTGGCAGCAGCACCACCTGGGCAGAGCAGAAATCTGATGATTCTGTGGTGGTCCAGGGTGCCCACCACCCTCTGGGACCAATGGGGCACGTGTAGTTCTTTCCCAGGCCTCCCTCCCCAGCCCCCCGTCCTTGGAGGGAGGGCTCATGGTGTTGGTGATTGTCTCTGCTTCCCTCCCCATCCCAGAGTTACCAAACCTTACCCTGGCATCTTGAATCAACTTGAAGGGGGGGAGGGTTCCATGAACTTGAACAAGAAAAAACTACAATCTTATTTGTAGCGTATGCTTTACTGAAGTGTAACTGAACTTAGCATTTCTTTTGATTCTGAACACAGACCACATACCAGTCTCCACAAGTGATACTGTCATACAACACAATTCAAAACCACACCTGCTGCTGCAGTTCCTCACTGAAGGAATTAAAACGCACCTTTAGGACCGAGACCGTGGCGCACTCGGGAGAGTGCGGCGCTGGGAGCGCAGCAGCGCTCCCGCCACGGGTTCGGATCCTATATAGGGATGGCCGGTGCGCTCACTGGCTGAGCGTGGTGCGGCCGGTCTCAAAAAAAAAGGACAAAACAAACAAACAAACAAAAAAACGCACCTTTACAGTGATTTTTTTTTTTTTTTGTGGCTGTCAAGTAAGGGGATCCAAACTTTACAGTAATTTTCACATAGTAACTTTGAATAATAAACCACCATGTTTCATTTACATGTTTTCATTTGTAATTCCAGGCATTATTTTGTGCACTAAAAACACTGAGTCAAGGATTCACAAACTTCGGACAGCAAAGAAGTCAATGCTGCAAAAATGGTTAAGACTCCCTCTGCTCAACCAGTGAAGTGACCTGTGAATTCTAGGAGGGAGGGTGGCAAGGAAGGTCCGGTGGGGAGATGTGCCCAGAGGACACAGCAGCAGTGACAGGACACCTGCCACACAATTGGCCACAGGGCAGCAGGGGCACCCAGTGAAGATTCGACAAACGAATGGGTTGAATTTCCATGTGGGATTAGTCACCACACAATTCCAAAGGGCCTGTTGGAACAACCACAAGACCTTCACACCCATAAAAATTATAACTTCAATCCTAAAGATACCTATTTCTGGGGCAACGTCAGCCCACTCACATTTTAAAAAGTTCCTCTTCATCTTCCTCCAGCGTTTTAATTTCTTGCTCAGGAAGAGAAACTATTGGCTCAAACTGGGGGTCGTGGTTGGACTCGTCTGCATTCTCGGTGGAGGTATCATGGTCCTCATGAGTGTCCTGTGGAGAGAGGTGTGAAGAGGTGACTCTGGAAACCCATGGCCTGGCCTGCAACCAGAGCTCATCAGTGCCTGCAGAGGGCATCTCCAATAGTGAGTGGCCTTTGAAAACATGGACAAGGGCCGGCCCGTGGCTCACTCGGGAGAGTGCGGTGCTGATAACACCAAGGCCACGGGTTCGGATCCCATATAGGGATGACCGGTTCGCTCACTGGCTGAGCATGGTGCTGACAACACCACGTCCAGGGGTAAGATCCCCCTAC